AGTTTAAGAAAGTTATTAAAATTTGAAAAGCTTTAACCACAGAGTGAATGTATGTTAACTGGCAGAAAAAGTAAGTCCATTTATAAGTAAAATACGGAAAAACAGGATTTTTTTTTTACAAAATTTACTTCTGGATACTATCTTATGATCATAAACAAGCTTCTGTCCAAGTTTGGTTGAAATGCAGGATAGTTTAAGAAAGTTATTAAAATTTGAAAAACTTTAACCAAAGAGTGAATATTTGTGGGTGCCGCTGCCGACGGAATGTAGGATCGCTATGTCTTGCTCTGCGACAAAAGTTGCAGGCTCGACAAAAACAACAAAATTAAATATCCATGATCATGCAAGTTTTCCTTAATCCATGAAAATTGGTACCCACGAAAATAAATGAATCCACAGTAAACATTTAGAATTAGTAGAATTTAGTGCTTTCAGATTGTGGTTAAAAGTACCCCCATCTTTCCTTAAAATACATAATACATTAATGGAACAGTAATTTTGCACACTGTTGAAGCATGTTTTGTTTAAATACTACATACAGCATACCTGCCAACATTTCAAAATGCCCATATGTTTATAATGAATTCAGTTTTTTCATGTTCCTGACACTCTTTCAAGCCAAAAAGATCCAAATCTTTAGGCCACACCAATTTGATTTTTAGTTCTTCGGACAAAAGCTCCAAAAAATATGGGGCGAGCGAGCGAAATTTTTTTGATTGTATTTATTTCTTGAAAATGAGTTTTGTTGAGGCGGGTGCTCTACAAGTGGAGCGAGCGGTATAATATTTTTTTTAAATTGTGCGATTTAGAATTTTATGTACATGTAAAACTGGTTACTTCAAAGAAAAAGGAAGATAAACATGCTCTTATTCATATAATTTGATGTATTTGTGCCTGTAGTACAGTCTGTACCATACACAACTCTCTGGTTCGCTTTGGTTTAGTATAATTTTGATTGTTTTCGTCAAATAAGCTTTGACTGCCGCTCTGCGTGAATTTTCATTAAAAATTAAATTCATACATGTGTATATATTAAGGAAGCATAGCAGATGCAGTTTAGCAAGAGGAATTATGTTAGTGAGGTAAATTTAAATGAAATGTGTCGAATACAATTAAAATATGTGTATGTATTACAAAACTGAATGCCCTAGAAAAATATTAATTATCTTTTAATTTGATATAGTTGTTTTTATTATATGGTAATGATTGTTTAATTGGCTGCATGACATCCAGTTGGAACTATTTATCCATAATAGGATCAACATAATGTGTAAGGTGAATAGTTCAACAACATCCTCAGTAAGATAGTTATATTGCTATGCATGTAGATCTCAATTTATTAAAAAATTCCCTTAAAATACACATGCATTATTCTGACTTAGCAAAATACTTTTTCCTTTTGCCCCTGAAACCTGCAATGTATTTTAAACTGTAAGTGGTTGCACCAATAACACATCCCTAATTATTATTAGCATGCCAATCCCAATACCACCACTTTGGTCTCAAATGTTGGAACTTTTAAATTTTCCCTTACAAAAGAGTCCTGATTGCATGTCAATAGACTAACAAGGGGATATGAGGTTTTCATCAAAATAAGATAAATCTGTCATTTTTTAAAAACTCGTGTGAATTTAATATTAATTTCATCCAAGACTTCTACTTCTACCAATACGCGGCCACCATCAATAAGTTGATTATTTTGCCACTTTTTGGATGCGCATTTAAAATTTAGACAAAAAATAAATATTGATTTGATTTGAATTTGTGCTATACATCATATATACAGTGAATTTAAAAACATCTTGGCGTTGATCTAGTTCATCTCATGCAGGTAAGTCTTGAAGCATTCAAGACTACCTGTATTGGTGGCAGTATGTGGTAGGGCATTCCAGTCTCGTATCGTCCTTGGGTAAAAAAATTCCTTCCGCACTTCGGTCCTACAAGATGGTACTTGGTATCCATTTGTGTTGATGTTTCTGGATAGCTTATCTGGTGGAATGAGAGTATTACTGGTGTCAACTTTCACCATCCCGTTAGACAGAACTGGTGTCAACTTTCACCATCCCGTTAGACAGATATATCTTTCTATGTCTGTTGTAATCCTAGATTACTCTGACGTCCAACGGCTGTTTTGCCAGACAAGCTGGAGCTGTGGGACAACAGCGCTCATCTTGTCTGGCAAAACAGCTGTTGGACGTCAGAGTAATCTCGGACTATGTCTGTTGAAACAATGATCGGGGATGACAATGGTTCTAACTTCTAACAAGTACTGATGTGATCGTGGTCACCTAACGAAAGATTTTTTTAATTTTTTGTCTCCTATAACAGGTCTTCATTGGTAAAACGAAATGCGTTTAAAATAGCTGTGTTTAATAACTACTTGTACTTGCAATGATCTGACACAACTTCATTTTGGCATCCCGATTTTTGACCTTTTATTTACAAATCGATTTACCACACGTGTTTTGAATCGATCGGAGCAATATATGCACAAGAAAAACGTTTTAAAGGAAAAAAAAATATCAAGGATAAACTAATTTTGGAGCGGCATGCGGCCCAAAAATTGGCGGAAGCGGTAATTATTTTTTTTTATTGAAAAGTCAATTTCTCCAAGACAGGAACGGGAAAATCCAAAGAACTATTAATCAAATTGGTGTGGCCTTATCTGCATAATAAAAAAAAACTTAGGCCAAATAAAAATATATGCGTGGTTCCAGTTACATTCTCAAAAGATACGGTCGCTAGGTTGGCATTGTTTTTTGGGATTGTCAAAATCCAGAAAAAAAATTGTGTGTTCACTGAGTCCGATTCTGGTATTGTACACGCCCCTACCGCAAGTTTGCCATTTTCTATATTTTTCGGTTTTAAAATAAACAGACATGTTATGTTTTTTAGTTAATTTTGTTGCATTCTGTTAAGAATTTGTTGCATTTTTAGCCTTAGTGGATAATTTTATTGGAAATTCTTTTGACAGAAGTCTGTGAAATTAATTATTGAAATTCACATTCCATAAAATGGGATCGTTCAAAATTTATTTTACAGAATTAAAAAGAAAATTTCTAGGTTGGGTCTGGTTACTGGAACCACACATATATTTTTTTTATTTTGCCTTGTTATTCTAATGGGAATCATGGCAATTGGTCATTTTTTAATTGAGGTAGGTTTTGAAAATTAGAATCAAAATGAAGGCAATAGTATGTGATTTAAAAAGAATTTTTGTTTCTGATTGTTGTTAACATATAGTTCATTTTTTATGCCAGCACCCAAGCTGAGGGGGCATTAAGTGTTGTCCATCTGTATGTACATCCCAAAAGTGGTTACCATTTTTAACTTTGCTTCAACCAAATGTTTTGAAACTTATACACAATGCTAATTACCACAAAACACTGTTCAGCTTTGAATTGAAATGGCGTCAATTTTACTGTTTGTCCCTTTATAATGTTATATGCAAGCAGGGGCATCATCTCTGTCCCATGAACACATTCTCCATTTATTTTGAACAATTGTTTTTAGAATCAGAACTAGGTACTGATGCCCCAATGTTCCAATAGTTGATATGTTTCTTGATGCAGTGCATTTTTGTTTTCATTTGGTTGTATTTTCCAAGCATTTTAAATCCAACAACCATCTTGGCTCTCTCATACTGTTCAGTAAAAGGCCTGTTTCCTGGATTTTCCATTGCAAGTCTTCTGTATTTTGTAAAACTTTTAACTTCTCCACCTGTTCCTAGAATTGTATCAACCAGTGTTGTTGTTATTTTGTCTGGAAAAATTTATTGATTTATAACATTAAAGAAGACTCTGATAAGACTAATGATTTGTAGATCAAACAGAGGTTTTTTTTAATATTTTATTGTTTAATGTTGATTATATGCATAGGGAATCATTTATATTGGGATATTATGACAAAAAAAGGCTAGTTTAACTAGTGCATTCTCAGATAGTAGTCTGGAGACTCCAGACCAATTTAACAAAAAAATGTTTTGGAGAATGCTTCATTTAAACCCAATTCACATTCAGCTGTGCATATATTTGTGACTGCATGTACTTTAATACAGGGCACACATAGGCACTAGACTAGGATGTAATTGGACTTGCATGTACTTTCTTACAATCTCTTGAAAAATCATACATAAACATTTAGAATTAGTAGAAATTAGTGCTTTCAGACTGTGGTTAAAAGTACCCCCATCTTTCCTTTAAATACATAACACTTTATTAGAACAGTAATTTTGCACACTGTTGAAGCATGTTTCATTTGAATACTATATACAAATATATATCTACCTGTTTATGTACATATGTTTATAATGGATTCAGTTTCTTCATGTTCCTGACAACCTTTCAAGCCAAAAGGATTCATATTTTTATCTGCATATTAAAAAAAAAACATCAGCCAAATAAAAATGTATGTGTGATTCCAGTTACATATTCTCGAAAAAAGACAGGGTTAGTATATCTGCATTTTTTTTTTTTGGAATTGTCAAAATCCGGAAAAAATATTGTTCTTTCACTGAGTCTGATTCTGGTATTATACACGCCCCTACCACAAGTTTGTCATTTTCTATATGTTTAGTTGTAAAATAAACAGACATGTTGCATTTTTAGCATTACTAGATACTTTTATGGGAAATTCATATGACAGAAGCCTGTGAATTCAATTGTTGAAATTCACATTCAATAAAATGGGATCGTTCAAAATCTATTTTACAGAATTAAAAAAAAAGTTCTAGGGTAGGTCTGGTAACTGGAACCACACATATATTTTTATTTTGCCACTCTAACGGTAATTATGGCAATTGGTCATATTTTAATCGAGGTAGGTTTTGAAAATTAGTATCAAAATGCAGGCAATCATATAGTTCATTTTTTATGCCAGCACTGAAGCTGAGGGGGCATGAAGTGTTGTCCATCTGTATGTACGTCCCAAAAGTGGTTATCGTTTTTAACTTTAAGTTGCCTCAACAAAATGTTTTGAAACTTATATAAAATGCTAATTACCACAAAACACTGTTCAGCTTTGAATTTAAACTGCATCAATTTACTGTTTGTCCCTTTATAATGTTATATGCAAGCAGGGTCATCATCTGTGTCACATTCTCCATTTATTTTGAACAATTGCTTTTAGAATCAGAACTAGGTACTGATGCCCCAACGTTCCATTAGTTGATTTGTTTGTTGATGCATTTTTTGTCTTCATTTGGTTGTATTTTTCAAGCAGTTTAAATCCAACAATCATCTTGACTCTCTCATACTGTTCAGTAAAAGACCTCATTCTGGGATTTTCCATTGCAAGTCTTCTGTATTTTGTAAAACTTAACTTCTTCACCAGTTCCTAGAATTGTATCAACCAGTGTTGTTGTTATTTTGTCTGGAAAAAACGATTTATTGATTTATAACATTAAAGAAGACTAATGATCAGACTCAATGATTTGTAGATCAAACAAAGAGGTTTTTTTTATATTTTATTGTTTAATGTTGATTATCTGCATATGGAATCAATTATATTGGGATATTATGACCAAAAGGCTAGTTTAGCTAGTGCATTCTCAGAATGTAGCCTGGAAACTCCAGACCAATTTAACAAACAAATTTTTTGGAGCAATGCTTCATTTAAACCCAATTTACATTCAGCTGTGCATATATTTGTGTACATGTACTTTAATACAGGGCATGCATAGGCACTCAACTAGGATGTAATTGGGCTTGCATGCACTTTCTTTCAAAAATCATACATACTAGTTAACATTTAGAATTAGTAAAATTTAGTGCTTTCAGATTGTGGTTAAAAGTACCCCCATCTTTCCTTAAAATACATAATACATTAATGGAACAGTAATTTTGCACACTGTTGAAGCATGTTTTGTTTAAATACTATATACAGATATATATCTACCTGTTTGTGTACATATGTTCATAATGGATTCAGTTTCTTCATGTTCCTGACAATGATCTTTCAAGCCAAAAGGATCCAAATCTTCATCTGCATAATAAAAAAAAACTTAAGCCAAATAAAAATATATGCGTGGTTCCAGTTACATTCTCAAAAAAAGATACGGTCCATAGGTTGGCATTGTTTTTTTGGGATTATCAAAATCCAGAAAAAAAATCATGTGTTCACAGAGTCCGATTCTGGTATTGTACACGCCCCTACAGCAAGTTTTCCATTTTCTATATTTTTCGGTTTTAAAATAAACAGACATGTTATGTTTTTTAGTTAATTTTGTTGCATTCTGTTAAGAATTTGTTGCATTTTAAGCCTTAGTGGATAATTTTATTGGAAATTCATATGACAGAAGTCTGTGAATTTAATTATTGAAATTCACATTCCATAAAATGGGATCGTTCAAAATTTATTTTACAGAATTAAAAAAAAAAGTTCTAGGGTGGGTCTGGTAACTGGAACCACACATATATATTCTTTTATTTTGCCTTGTTATTCTAACAGCAATTGACATGGCAATTGGTCATATTTTAATTGAGGTAGGTTTTGAAAATTAGAATCAAAATGAAGGCAATAGTATGTGATTTAAAAAGAATTTTTGTTTCTGATTGTTGTTAACATATAGTTCATTTTTTATGCCAGCACCGAAGCTGAGGGGGCATTAAGTGTTGTCCATCTGTATGTACATCCCAAAAGTGGTAACCATTTTTAACTTTGCCTCAACCAAATGTTTTAAAACTGATACACAATGCTAATTACCACAAAACACTGTTCAGCTTTGAATTTAAATGGCATCAATTTAACTGTTTGCATGTACTTTCTTGCAATCTCTTGAAAAATCATACATAAACATTTAGAATTAGTAGAAATTAGTGCTTTCAGACTGTGGTTAAAAGTACCCCCAACTTTCCTTTAAATACATAACACATTATTGGAACAGTAATTTTGCACACTGTTGAAGCATGTTTTGTTTGAATACTATATACAAATATATATCTACCTGTTTATGTACATATGTTTATAATGGATTCAGTTTCTTCATGTTCCTGACAACCTTTCAAGCCAAAAGGATTCATATTTTCATCTGCATGTTAAAAAAAAACATCAGCCAAATAAAAATGTATGTGTGATTCCAGTTACATATTCTCGAAAAAAGACAGGGTCAGTATATCTGCATTTTTTTTTTTGGATTGTCAAAATCCGGAAAAAATATCGTTCTTTCACTTAGTCTGATTCTGGTATTATACACGCCCCTACCACAAGTTTGCCATTTTCTATATGTTTAGTTGTAAAATAAACAGACATGTTACATTTTTAGTTAATTTTGTTGCATTCTGTTATGAATTTGTTGCATTTTTAGCCGTAGTAGATACTTTTATGGGAAATTCATATGACAGAAGCCTGTGAATTCAATTGTTGAAATTCACATTCAATAAAATGGGATCGTTCAAAATCTATTTTACAGAATTAAAAAAAAAAGTTCTAGGGTATGTCTGGTAACTGGAACCACACATATATTTTTATTTTGCCTTAACTCTAACGGTAATCATGGCAATTGGTCATATTTTAATCAAGGTAGGTTTTGAAAATTAGTATCAAAATGCAGGCAATCATATAGTTCATTTTTTATGCCAGCACTGAAGCTGAGGGGGCATGAAGTGTTGTCCATCTGTATGTACGTCCCAAAAGTGGTTATAGTTTTTAACTTTAAGTTGCCTCGACAAAATGTTTTGAAACTTATATAAAATGCTAATTACCACAAAACACTGTTCAGCTTTGAATTTAAACTGCATCAATTTACTGTTTGTCCCTTTATAATGTTATATGCAAGCAGGGTCATCATCTGTGTCACATTCTCCATTTATTTTGAACAATTGCTTTTAGAATCAGAACTAGGTACTGATGCCCCAACGTTCCATTAGTTGATTTGTTTGTTGATGCATTTTTTGTCTTCATTTGGTTGTATTTTTCAAGCAGTTTAAATCCAACAATCATCTTGACTCTCTCTCATACTGTTCAGTAAAAGACCTCATTCTGGGATTTTCCGTTGCAAGTCTTCTGTATTTTGTAAAACTTAACTTCTTCACCAGTTCCTAGAATTGTATCAACCAGTGTTGTTGTTATTTTGTCTGGAAAAAACGATTTATTGATTTATAACATTAAAGAAGACTAATGATCAGACTCAATGATTTGTAGATCAAACAGAGGTTTTTTTATATTTTATTGTTTAATGTTGATTATCTGCAGTTGGAATCAATTATATTGGGATATTATGACCTAAAGGCTAGTTTAGCTAGTGCATTCTCAGAAAGTAGCCTGGAAACTCCAGACCAATTTAACATACAAATTTTTTGGAGCAATGCTTCATTTAAACCCAATTTACATTCAGCTGTGCATATATTTGTGTACATGTACTTTAATACAGGGCATGCATAGGCACTCAACTAGGATGTAATTGGGCTTGCATGCACTTTCTTGCAAAAATCATACATACTAGTTAACATTTAGAATTAGTATAATTTAGTGCTTTCAGATGGTGGTTAAAAGTACCCCCATCTTTCCTTAAAATACATAATACATTAATGGAACAGTAATTTTGCACACTGTTGAAGCATGTTTTGTTTAAATATTATATACAGATATATATCTACCTGTTTGTGCACATATGTTTATAATGGATTCAGTTTCTTCATGTTCCTGACAATCTTTCAAGCCAAAAGGATCCAAATCTTCATCTGCATAATAAAAAAAAACTTAGGCCAAATAAAAATATATGCGTGGTTCCAGTTACATTCTCAAAAAAAGATATGGTCCGTAGGTTGGCATTGTTTTTTGGGATTATCAAAATCCAGAAAAAAAATCATGTGTTCACAAAGTCTGATTCTGGTATTGTACACGCTCCTACAGCAAGTTTTCCATTTTCTATATTTTTCTGTTTTAAAATAAACAGACATGTTACGTTTTTTAGTTAATTTTGTTGCATTCTGTTAAGAATTTGTTGCATTTTAAGCCTTAGTGGATAATTTTATTGGAAATTCATATGACAGAAGTCTGTGAATTTAATTATTGAAATTCACATTCCATAAAATGGGATCATTCAAAATTTATTTTACAGAATTAAAAAAAAAAGTTCTAGGGTGGGTCTGGTAACTGGAACCACACATATATATTTTTTTATTTTGCCTTGTTATTCTAACAGCAATCGACATGGTAATTGGTCATATTTTAATCGAGGTAGGTTTTGAAAATTAGAATCAAAATGAAGGCAATAGTATGTGATTTAAAAAGAATTTTTGTTTCTGATTGTTGTTAACATATAGTTCATTTTTTATGCCAGCACCGAAGCTGAGGGGGCATTAAGTGTTGTCCATCTGTATGTACATTCCAAAAGTGGTAACCATTTTTAACTTTGCCTCAACCAAATGTTTTAAAACTGATACACAATGCTAATTACCACAAAACACTGTTCAGCTTTGAATTTAAATGGCATCAATTTTACTGTTTGCATGTACTTTCTTGCAATCTCTTGAAAAATCATACATAAACATTTAGAATTAGTAGAAATTAGTGCTTTCAGACTGTGGTTAAAAGTACCCCCAACTTTCCTTTAAATACATAACACATTATTGGAACAGTAATTTTGCACACTGTTGAAGCATGTTTTGTTTGAATACTATATACAAATATATATCTACCTGTTTATGTACATATGTTTATAATGGATTCAGTTTCTTCATGTTCCTGACAACCTTTCAAGCCAAAAGGATTCATATTTTCATCTGCATGTTAAAAAAAAACATCAGCCAAATAAAAATGTATGTGTGATTCCAGTTACATATTCTCGAAAAAAGACAGGGTCAGTATATCTGCATTTTTTTTTTTGGATTGTCAAAATCCGGAAAAAATATCGTTCTTTCACTTAGTCTGATTCTGGTATTATACACGCCCCTACCACAAGTTTGCCATTTTCTATATGTTTAGTTGTAAAATAAACAGACATGTTACATTTTTAGTTAATTTTGTTGCATTCTGTTATGAATTTGTTGCATTTTTAGCCGTAGTAGATACTTTTATGGGAAATTCATATGACAGAAGCCTGTGAATTCAATTGTTGAAATTCACATTCAATAAAATGGGATCGTTCAAAATCTATTTTACAGAATTAAAAAAAAAAGTTCTAGGGTATGTCTGGTAACTGGAACCACACATATATTTTTATTTTGCCTTAACTCTAACGGTAATCATGGCAATTGGTCATATTTTAATCAAGGTAGGTTTTGAAAATTAGTATCAAAATGCAGGCAATCATATAGTTCATTTTTTATGCCAGCACTGAAGCTGAGGGGGCATGAAGTGTTGTCCATCTGTATGTACGTCCCAAAAGTGGTTATAGTTTTTAACTTTAAGTTGCCTCGACAAAATGTTTTGAAACTTATATAAAATGCTAATTACCACAAAACACTGTTCAGCTTTGAATTTAAACTGCATCAATTTACTGTTTGTCCCTTTATAATGTTATATGCAAGCAGGGTCATCATCTGTGTCACATTCTCCATTTATTTTGAACAATTGCTTTTAGAATCAGAACTAGGTACTGATGCCCCAACGTTCCATTAGTTGATTTGTTTGTTGATGCATTTTTTGTCTTCATTTGGTTGTATTTTTCAAGCAGTTTAAATCCAACAATCATCTTGACTCTCTCTCATACTGTTCAGTAAAAGACCTCATTCTGGGATTTTCCGTTGCAAGTCTTCTGTATTTTGTAAAACTTAACTTCTTCACCAGTTCCTAGAATTGTATCAACCAGTGTTGTTGTTATTTTGTCTGGAAAAAACGATTTATTGATTTATAACATTAAAGAAGACTAATGATCAGACTCAATGATTTGTAGATCAAACAGAGGTTTTTTTATATTTTATTGTTTAATGTTGATTATCTGCAGTTGGAATCAATTATATTGGGATATTATGACCTAAAGGCTAGTTTAGCTAGTGCATTCTCAGAAAGTAGCCTGGAAACTCCAGACCAATTTAACATACAAATTTTTTGGAGCAATGCTTCATTTAAACCCAATTTACATTCAGCTGTGCATATATTTGTGTACATGTACTTTAATACAGGGCATGCATAGGCACTCAACTAGGATGTAATTGGGCTTGCATGCACTTTCTTGCAAAAATCATACATACTAGTTAACATTTAGAATTAGTATAATTTAGTGCTTTCAGATGGTGGTTAAAAGTACCCCCATCTTTCCTTAAAATACATAATACATTAATGGAACAGTAATTTTGCACACTGTTGAAGCATGTTTTGTTTAAATATTATATACAGATATATATCTACCTGTTTGTGCACATATGTTTATAATGGATTCAGTTTCTTCATGTTCCTGACAATCTTTCAAGCCAAAAGGATCCAAATCTTCATCTGCATAATAAAAAAAAACTTAGGCCAAATAAAAATATATGCGTGGTTCCAGTTACATTCTCAAAAAAAGATATGGTCCGTAGGTTGGCATTGTTTTTTGGGATTATCAAAATCCAGAAAAAAAATCATGTGTTCACAAAGTCTGATTCTGGTATTGTACACGCTCCTACAGCAAGTTTTCCATTTTCTATATTTTTCTGTTTTAAAATAAACAGACATGTTACGTTTTTTAGTTAATTTTGTTGCATTCTGTTAAGAATTTGTTGCATTTTAAGCCTTAGTGGATAATTTTATTGGAAATTCATATGACAGAAGTCTGTGAATTTAATTATTGAAATTCACATTCCATAAAATGGGATCATTCAAAATTTATTTTACAGAATTAAAAAAAAAAGTTCTAGGGTGGGTCTGGTAACTGGAACCACACATATATATTTTTTTATTTTGCCTTGTTATTCTAACAGCAATCGACATGGTAATTGGTCATATTTTAATCGAGGTAGGTTTTGAAAATTAGAATCAAAATGAAGGCAATAGTATGTGATTTAAAAAGAATTTTTGTTTCTGATTGTTGTTAACATATAGTTCATTTTTTATGCCAGCACCGAAGCTGAGGGGGCATTAAGTGTTGTCCATCTGTATGTACATTCCAAAAGTGGTAACCATTTTTAACTTTGCCTCAACCAAATGTTTTAAAACTGATACACAATGCTAATTACCACAAAACACTGTTCAGCTTTGAATTTAAATGGCATCAATTTTACTGTTTGCATGTACTTTCTTGCAATCTCTTGAAAAATCATACATAAACATTTAGAATTAGTAGAAATTAGTGCTTTCAGACTGTGGTTAAAAGTACCCCCAACTTTCCTTTAAATACATAACACATTATTGGAACAGTAATTTTGCACACTGTTGAAGCATGTTTTGTTTGAATACTATATACAAATATATATCTACCTGTTTATGTACATATGTTTATAATGGATTCAGTTTCTTCATGTTCCTGACAATCTTTCAAGCCAAAAGGATTCATATTTTCATCTGCATGTTAAAAAAAAACATCAGCCAAATAAAAATGTATGTGTGATTCCAGTTACATATTCTCGAAAAAAGACAGGGTCAGTATATCTGCATTTTTTTTTTTGGATTGTCAAAATCCGGAAAAAATATCGTTCTTTCACTGAGTCTGATTCTGGTATTATACACGCCCCTACATCAAGTTTGCCATTTTCTATATGTTTAGTTGTAAAATAAACAGACATGTTACATTTTTAGTTAATTTTGTTGCATTCTGTTATGAATTTGTTGCATTTTTAGCATTAGTAGATACTTTTATGGGAAATTCATATGACAGAAGCTTGTGAATTCAATTGTTGAAATTCACATTCAATAAAATGGGATCGTTCAAAATCTATTTTACAGAATTCAAAAAAAAGTTCTAGGGTAGGTCTGGTAACTGGAACCACACATATATTTTTATTTTGCCTTAACTCTAACGGTAATCATGGCAATTGGTCATATTTTAATTGAGGTAGGTTTTGAAAATTAGTGTCAAAATGCAGGCGATCATATAGTTCATTTTTTATGCCAGCACTGAAGCTGAGGGGGCATGAAGTGTTGTCCATCTGTATGTATGTATGTCCCAAAAGTGGTTATCGTTTTAAACTTTAAGTTGCCTCGACAAAATGTTTTGAAACTTATATAAAATGCTAATTACCACAAAACACTGTTCAGCTTTGAATTTAAACTGCATCAATTAACTGTTTGTCTCTTTATAATGTTAATATATGCAAGCAGGGTTATCATCTGTGTCACATTCTCCTTTTATTTTGAACAATTGCTTTTAGAGTCAGAACTAGGTACTTTAGTTCCATTAGTTGATTTGTTTGTTGATGCATTTTTTGTCTTCATTTGGTTGTATTTTTCAAGCAGTTTAAATCCAACAATCATCTTGACTCTCTCATACTGTTCAGTAAAAGACCTCATTCTGGGATTTTCCGTTGCAAGTCTTCTGTATTTTGTAAAACTTAACTTCTTCACCAGTTCCTAGAATTGTATCAACCAGTGTTGTTGTTATTTTGTCTGGAAAAAACGATTTATTGATTTATAACATTAAAGAAGACTAATGATCAGACTCAATGATTTGTAGATCAAACAGAGAGTTTTTTTTTATATTTTATTGTTTAATGTTGATTATCTGCATTGGGAATCAATTATATTAGGGTATTTTATGACCAAAAGGCTAGTTTAGCAAGTGCATTCTCAGAAAGTAGCCTGGAAACTCCAGACCAATTTAACATACAAATTTTTTGGAGCAATGCTTCATTTAAACCCAATTTACATTCAGCTGTGCATATATTTGTGTACATGTACTTTAATACAGGGCACGCATAGGCACTCAACTAGGATGCAATTGGGCTTGCATGCTATTTCTTGCAAAAATCATACATATTATTTAATATTTAGAATTAGTAAAATTTAGTGCTTTCAGGTTGTGGTTAAAAGTACCCCCATCTTTCCTTAAAATACATAATACATTAATGGAACAGTAATTTTGCACACTGTTGAAGCATGTTTTGTTTAAATATTATATACAGATATATATCTTCCTGTTTGTGCACATATGTTTATAATGGATTCAGTCTCTTCATGTTCCTGACAATCTTTCAAGCCAAAAGGATTCATATTTTCATCTGCATGTTAAAAAAAAACATCAGCCAAATAAAAATGTATGTGTGATTCCAGTTACATATTCTCGAAAAAAGACAGGGTCAGTATATCTGCATTTTTTTTTTTGGATTGTCAAAATCCGGAAAAAATATCGTTCTTTCACTGAGTCTGATTCTGGTATTATACACGCCCCTACATCAAGTTTGCCATTTTCTATATGTTTAGTTGTAAAATAAACAGACATGTTACATTTTTAGTTAATTTTGTTGCATTCTGTTATGAATTTGTTGCATTTTTAGCATTAGTAGATACTTTTATGGGAAATTCATATGACAGAAGCTTGTGAATTCAATTGTTGAAATTCACATTCAATAAAATGGGATCGTTCAAAATCTATTTTACAGAATTCAAAAAAAAGTTCTAGGGTAGGTCTGGTAACTGGAACCACACATATATTTTTATTTTGCCTTAACTCTAACGGTAATCATGGCAATTGGTCATATTTTAATTGAGGTAGGTTTTGAAAATTAGTGTCAAAATGCAGGCGATCATATAGTTCATTTTTTATGCCAGCACTGAAGCTGAGGGGGCATGAAGTGTTGTCCATCTGTATGTATGTATGTCCCAAAAGTGGTTATCGTTTTAAACTTTAAGTTGCCTCGACAAAATGTTTTGAAACTTATATAAAATGCTAATTACCACAAAACACTGTTCAGCTTTGAATTTAAACTGCATCAATTAACTGTTTGTCTCTTTATAATGTTAATATATGCAAGCAGGGTTATCATCTGTGTCACATTCTCCTTTTATTTTGAACAATTGCTTTTAGAGTCAGAACTAGGTACTTTAGTTCCATTAGTTGATTTGTTTGTTGATGCATTTTTTGTCTTCATTTGGTTGTATTTTTCAAGCAGTTTAAATCCAACAATCATCTTGACTCTCTCATACTGTTCAGTAAAAGACCTCATTCTGGGATTTTCCGTTGCAAGTCTTCTGTATTTTGTAAAACTTAACTTCTTCACCAGTTCCTAGAATTGTATCAACCAGTGTTGTTGTTATTTTGTCTGGAAAAAACGATTTATTGATTTATAACATTAAAGAAGACTAATGATCAGACTCAATGATTTGTAGATCAAACAGAGAGTTTTTTTTTATATTTTATTGTTTAATGTTGATTATCTGCATTGGGAATCAATTATATTAGGGTATTTTATGACCAAAAGGCTAGTTTAGCAAGTGCATTCTCAGAAAGTAGCCTGGAAACTCCAGACCAATTTAACATACAAATTTTTTGGAGCAATGCTTCATTTAAACCCAATTTACATTCAGCTGTGCATATATTTGTGTACATGTACTTTAATACAGGGCACGCATAGGCACTCAACTAGGATGCAATTGGGCTTGCATGCTATTTCTTGCAAAAATCATACATATTATTTAATATTTAGAATTAGTAAAATTTAGTGCTTTCAGGTTGTGGTTAAAAGTACCCCCATCTTTCCTTAAAATACATAATACATTAATGGAACAGTAATTTTGCACACTGTTGAAGCATGTTTTGTTTAAATATTATATACAGATATATATCTTCCTGTTTGTGCACATATGTTTATAATGGATTCAGTCTCTTCATGTTCCTGACAATCTTTCAAGCCAAAAGGATCCAAATCTTCATCTGCATAATAAGAAAAAACTTAGGCCAAATAAAAATATATGCGTGGTTCCAGTTACGTTCTCAAAAAAAGATACGGTCCGTAGGTTGGCATTGTTTTTTGGGATTATGAAAATCCAGAAAAAAAAAATGTGTTCACAGAGTCCGATTCTGGTATTGTACACGCCCCTACAGCAAGTTTTCCATTTTTTATATTTTTCGGTTTTAAAATACACAGACATGTTATGTTTTTTAGTTAATTTTGTTGCATTCTGTTAAGAATTTGTTGCATTTTAAGCCTTAGTGGATAATTTTATTGGAAATTCATATGACAGAAGTCTGTGAATTTAATTATTGAAATTCACATTCCATAAAATGGGATTGTTCAAAATTTATTTTACAGAATTAAAAAGAGTTTTAGGGTGGGTCTGGTAACTGGAACCACACATATATATTTTTTTATTTTGCCTTGTTATTCTAACAGCAATCGACATGGCAATTGGTCATATTTTAATCGAGGTAGGTTTTGAAAATTAGAATCAAAATGAAGGCAATAGTATGTGATTTAAAAAGAATTTTTGTTTCTGATTGTTGTTAACATATAGTTCATTTTTTATGCCAGCACCGAAGCTGATGGGGCATTAAGTGTTGTCCACTTGTTTGTACATCCCAAAAGTGGTTACCATTTTTAACTTTGCCTCAACCAAATGTTTTAAAACTGATACACAATGCTAGTTACCACAAAACACTATTCAGCTTTGAATTTAAATGGCATCAATTTTACTGTTTGTCACTTTATAATGTTATATGCAAGCAGGGTCATCATCTGTGTCACATTCTCCATTTATTTTGAACAAATGTTTTTAGAGTCAGAACTAGGTACTGATGCCCTGACATTCCAGTAGTTGATTTGTTTGTTGATGCAGTGCATTTTTTGTCTTCATTTGGTGGTATTTTCCAAGCAGTTTAAATCCAACAATCATCTTGGCTCTCTCATACTGTTCAGTAAAAGACCTGTTTCCTGGATTTTCCGTCACAAGTCTTCACTTTTAATTTCTTCACTGGTTCCTAGAATTGAATCCACCAGTCGTGTTGTTATTTTGTCTGGAAAAAACGATTTATTTATTTATTTATAACATTAAAGAAGACTAATGATAAGACTCAATGATTTGTAGATCAAATAGAGTTTTTGTTTTATATATTTTTATGTTTCATGTTGATTATCTGGATAAGGAATTATTGTCTCATGGACACATTCTCCATTTATTTATTCTATAGCAAATTAAAACTATCACAAAATAACAAAGATTTTATAAGATTTTCAAACATGGCTTTTTAAACTATATGTTATAAAATTAAAGTAGGGGTTAGTGGGCAAAATTGTAATGGCACTTCATGGATAAAACCAGAGGATTCTGAATATCTGACAAAAAGTTAAAAAAAAAAAAGACCAACAATCCATTAGTATTAGTGTGTTTACAACACTTGGACAAAGACCATAACCATATATCCCCTGTGGTGCAAAGTAGACAAAAAAAATTCTGACCAATCTCTTAAAACTTTCAAGCCTAATGCACATTATATTCCTATCAATTTTTATTTTAAGATGAAAATAAAATTTGTTTTCAACAGAGGAATAATATACCTACTAATTTATGAAAAGTATTAGACCACCCAGTTTTACTCCCCATCCATGAAAACAGTCGCTGTAATAACCTAA